ACGCCGCCTCTCTCACAGTCTGCGGCGTGGTCCTCACGAACCAGAATCGACTCCCTGCGGGTCTCTGCTCTGTCGGAGCCTCAGAAGAAGTCTTCCGTCTGACCTCCTCCTTGCAGCAGACCAATTCTCTTTACCCTCGTTGCTCTGCCAGGTCGTCTGACCCTCCAGGAATTAGCCGGGAGCCCCTCCACCCTCCCCGTACTAGGGTTTGCAGTGACATCCTCACCTTGGCTGCTGCCATCGTGTACCTGCCTGAAAATGCCAGATGAATAGTGCCCAGTAATACGTTTATGTCGCGTTTTGAACCACTTAAAAATAATTACGTGCAAGTGACACCTTGAATCCCTTGACACTTTTCTTAAAGCGGTGTTTTTCTGGATGTAGTATTTACGTTCTTATTTGATGAGCTGCTTTAGATGGGTGACCAAAATTTTATTTTTCCCTTTCCTCAGTTTACTTTTGTGTTCAGAAAATATTATGTAAGGTATTCATATGTGTCTAGTTTTAAAACTATAAAGACAGGAATCAGGCAAACCAAAGGCTTTAGGAAGTAGAAAGGCTATCTGCAGTCTGATGCCTTGAATCTTCTCCTGCCCGCCAGTCGGGCCGAATCGTTCTGCCCCAACAGATCACAGAATCTAGAAATTGCCCTGCAATCACAGATGGCTCCTGGGAAATGCCTAGAGCGGCAAAGAGACGAGTTACTCTTGTCAGTTTAAGCACAACTAGTTCTTCCCAAAGCTGTCTTTGAGTATTTGAGGCATACACGAGCCTGATGTCGGGCCCAGGACTTGGGGTTCTCAGAAAAATAAACACTCGACTAGAGTCACCGCTCAAGTACGTTTTATCAGCTAATAAATGGACATGTTCTCGTCGAGCCCAGAGTGGGCAATTTGATTCTTATCAAGAGCTTTTGGGTTTCCTCTTTTTGGATGCTTTGCCTTTTAAAATAGCCAGAAGATATCCTTCAAATCTCATTGCCTCCAGTCGGAGTCCTGGCTGTTGCATGCTCTGTAATGACAACCAAAGACGCTGCCCCCGTTCGAGACTACATTGCTGGCATGGGTTCCCGTTCCAGCTTCAATTGTATGTTGAATTTTCTCAAGTGGAATGTTTAATGATCCTCCTGAACAGACTGTTTATGCTGAATGAAGCTCTTCAGAGAGCATTTGGGCCTTCCTTTCTCTGCTGCTTTTTTGCTGGTGCACTCAGCTCACAGTTTTTGACTGGATGTGTGAATTTTATCCTCCCAGCAGGCAGAACACTAGAACGAAACTCTCCTCCCACTCCCTGAAAGGCTGGTGAACTGTCCCACCGTCCGTGGAAACAAAAGGTCTAATGCGCAGGCCAGGCACACGGGGAGACAGAGCCCCTGACTCGAGGCCCCCAAAGAGGGCTCAGCATCTTGTCTGTTGGTCCCTCTGCTCCTGGACAGCTAATGGTTTGGAATCGGTTCAGCTCCCGAGAGTGGCATCTTGCCGACTTAAGACCTTACGTTGTTAGATTTTTCCTCCTTTAGACCAAACGGGGGAAACGGAAGGCTTTGAAAATTAGCTAATCTTTAAGGTACATATTGGAGTTAGGTTAGGGGTGGCTGCGAATAACAGAGATCCCAAATAACAGAGGCTCCAAAGAGATGGAAGTTTGCTTGGGCCTCTTTTAATAACGATAATACCAGCTAACATTTACGTCGCTCTGCTCGTGCCAGGCACTGTTGTTAGCACATTTCATGTATTAATCCTTGCAGTATCCTGTGACACTGGTAGGGTATTACCACCTTAACAGAGAAGGAATTGAGGCACCAAAGTAAAGTCCTTTCCCAAAGCCACACCCCTAGCGAGTGACGGAGCCAGGACTTGAGTCTGGCTCCAGAGTCGGTACTCTCAGCCACGTGCCGTTCAGTCTGACAGAAACGCCACAGGCTGCCAGGGCTGATACGGTAGCTGTGCTCCCCGTTCTCGGGGACCCGGGCTCTTTCCCCCCCCCGTTGCTACTCTGCGGTGGATAGTTCCCACTCCCAGTTACATTTCCACTGTGGTGTTCTGGAATTGCAGAGTGCCCCGGTTGGAGAGGACTCCTCGAATGATCATGGAGCTCTGGATCCTCATTTGGGAAATGCGCGGGAGCGGCAGGAGTGGTTTCGGTCTTGAGCCTTCCTTGCGGGTCTTACGGTTTTCTTCCAGCCCCGTTCTGAAAGGGGGGCTCCTGCCTAGGACAGTTAGTGTGAGCAGCCGCGCTCGGTCCAGGAGGCGGCACTCTCCTCGTCGCTGCTGGGCTGGCCCCGGGGAGCGCGCTGCCTGTACCTGTGGCTCAGAGCACTTCCTGTACAGGGTCGGAGGGGGTCGTCTCTCAGGGCCTTGTCTGTGGTAGCGGGAGTCGGAGCCACCTGCTATCTGTCCCTAGGGGGGTGGACGTGTAAAGTGGTGGAAGGCGTGTGGAGCAGCGAGCTGCGGGTACGGGATGGTCTCAGAAATGTAATAGGAAGCAAAAAGAAAGAGGAAGGTTCTGAACTGGGTCTTAGAGCTCAGTATTCTTTAATAGTATGTATATGGCACATAGTAGGTGTTTAAGTTGGTGGGGGGGATGCTATTTAGAAGGTTGTGTGTTTTTTTTTTTTTCATGTGATTTCTCAAGCGGACCTTTATATGTTATCTGAAGTCTTAGTTTCTGCAAGCTTAGTGTTAGTTTACAAAGCCTTGATTCCTTGTTGGTGATAAAAGACAGGTGTAGTCAATTGTAGCCCTTTCTTTTCTAAAATAATGTACGTTTTTTCCCCCGACTGTAAAAATTATGCTTATTTTGAGAAGAAATTTTGAGAAGTCGAGTAAAGCTTAAAGAAAATAAAACTCTTTTATCTCTACTACCTAGGGAATAAACACTGTAAACCTTGTGGTATATTTTGTCTTTCCTCTGTGCTTATATAAGCACACATAAATATTGTATGTAGAGTAGTTGAGAGTATACCATAAATAATTTTGTATCTTGCTCTTTTCCCTTAACACTGTGACACACTTTCCTTTGTCGTTACAAATTCTTGATAAGCTTCATCTGAAATAGACTATATTGTACCTACTGTGTGCCAGGCCCGATAGTTAGCACTTTACATGTATTAACTGTGTCTGTACTTGGAGTTGAGCTTGTAGGTTGTTTCCAGGGTTATAGCTTTTCCTTTTTTCTTTAAAAAAATTTTTTTTTAATGTTTATTTATTTTCGAAAGGGAGAGAGACCGCGCGCGAGTGGGAGAGGGGCAGAAAGAGCGGGAGACGCGGAATTCGAAGCGGTCTCCAGGCTCTGAACTGTCGGCACAGAGCCCGACTCAGGGCTCGAACTCCCGAACTGTGAGATTGTGACCTGAGCCAAAGTCGGATGCTCAACTGACTGAACCACCCAGGTGCCCCAGGATTATAGCTTTTCTAACAAAGCACCCTAACCCCCTCAAAAGGGTTTTTACAGTCTTTGATGTCCATTAAAAAATGCTGTTTATACAGAATGAAAATCTGAAAATTGTTACATGTTGTCCCAAGGGGGGTTAGTTGTAGGTCGTAGTAATAATTCTCATAAATGAAAGGGCTGGATTCTGAATATATGTTGTCAGATGCCTGTGTCTTTGCAGCACATGGGACTGCAGCGAACATCCTGTTTTCAAAATAAGGCTGTGGGTCTAAGGAGAAAAGCCGCCTTTGGCACAGAACTCCAGCCTGAACATTTGCACGTGTGGCCTCTGCCAGGCATGCTGGGGCCTGTGGGTTGAGGTGGCCTGTCATGTTGGCAAGCAGAGCCTTCTTAGTACTCCCACCTCTGTGGCAGGAAGGACACATCCCATGGCCTTTTCCTTCTTCAGGTTTCTAGAGCACTTCTGATGTTCTCCCCACTTGGATCTCAGAGACAGTCTAGTTCTCACTACTATTACTTAGTGTGGGGTTTCCACGAGAAGCTAAAAGAGGTCTCTAAAAGAGGTCCCTGGGTGCCTGGGTGGTTCAGTCGGTTAAGTGTTCAACTTCAGCTCAGGTCATGATCTCATGGTTCCTGAGTTAGAGTCCCGCATCTGTGCTGACAGCACAGAGCCTGCTTCAGATTCTCTGTCCCCTTCTCTTTCTGCCCCTCCCCCACTTGCATGCACACATGCACTCTCGCTCTCTCAAAAAGAAAAACAAAAACATTTAAAAAAATAGAATAAATAAAAGAGGTCCTGTGGCTAAAGAAGCCTGGGAAATCCTGGATAAAAAAGGTTAAATAGATTCACTTAATGCAAAATTTGTTGTAATTTCTCAAATCCATTTGTTCGCTATGATCTTTGTGAATCTCCAAGATGAGACTGCCATTTCTCAACCGTACTTGTCTACGGAACGCCCTTCTTCTGGAGTACCCTACAGGTTTGATGTTTTACGGAACCCAGCTTAGGTCCTACCAGCCTGGTGAAATTGAGTCCCAGAAGCCCCGTCAGGCTTGAGCCATCTGCCTTCACACCCTCATCTTCATTTCTGAGTGGTCTCAGCAGTGGGTCTGTCAGAATATGGAGATTCTGTCTTTAAAATGAACTATGGGGGGGCCAAAGGAAAAAAAAAAATGAACCACAGGGTCCATCTGATCCCACCTTTCTCAGTCCATGCAGGTGTGCGTATGCTAGACAGGTCACTGAATTTCTGAAATCAAGAATTTTTCCAGACCACCTCCAAGGGTCTGGGTATGTAGCTCACTGAGCATGAGGCCTGAAATATCTTTTCCTAAAGCCGAATGAACAAATACAGCCGAGAAAGATATGTTGGACCCGGTGGAACCAGTGTGAGAAGTGGCCTGTTCAGTGTTGTAACGAGATCCTCAAGAGCTCTCCTGGGACCCGCTTGCCCACCTGACCAGGGGAGGAGGACAGGCCCTTACTCCTCGCATCACTTTAGCCTGGCTGTCCCCTGGCCTGAAGGACCCCGTAGAAGATCCCAGTCTCTAGCTTTCTCCGTGTTTTAGAGAAGACCTCTGGACTTTCTTCACCTTTTGTTTTACAGAGGAGGACGTGGAGAACTTTGATGTGACCAATTTGTCTCAGGACGTGCTTCGAAGCATTGAAGCCGACAGCTTTTGGTGCATGAGCAAGCTGTTAGATGGGATCCAGGTGAGTCGGCTCTGCCCATGTGGGCTGCCCGGGTCCAGGGACTCCCTGCAGGCCTTTGAGCTCCTTATTGCTCCTCAGTGTCAGCCAGGCGCGCCCCCCCAACTGCCCAGCACGGCTCTTCCTCGTTCCTCCACAGTGCAGGGCTCCATCAGGATTTGCCCACCCTCTGCTGTTCTGTAGATTCCTTTGTTCTCCAGAACCTGGGCACCAGCTGTGGAAAACAGCTTGTGCTTTTAAACGTGTTTCAGTGAACTCGAGAGCGGTAGCATGACTTTGGAGTCCCTGTTCATCCCGGGCTCTGTGTCATTTGCAGGATAACTACACCTTTGCACAACCAGGGATCCAGAAGAAGGTCAAGGCGCTGGAAGAGCTCGTCAGCCGGATTGATGGTAGGTTGGAAGAAGAGGGATTCTCTGGTAGCAGCACGGTATGGTTCCGACACAGCCAGTTGTGCTGGTGGGGGCCTCTCCTCTGCCCGCTTCTTTGCCACCACCCTCTCCAGTTC